ACACACACACACACACACACACACACACACACACACAGCACTGTACGCAAATATGTTACTGAGACAGGCAAAGAGGGAAGTAAAATCTGATACCACTTTTCTGTTCTCGACCCTGATTCTGGTACCTGGACTTCATGTATCGGACAATACTGAGTCCATATCTGATACCAGTGGATTTAAAGAGATAACTTCTATAATGTATCGTAACAGCTGTAGGCTCCTTACTCTGTATGGAAGTGGTTAGCCATCATTGTTGTATGACCTGGCTCAGGTTAAACCCATTGACAAACCAATAAATACAGAGGATGAATGAAGAGGAACCTTTAATAATATGATATTTTCATGAAGCTTTTTCGTCACAGTAAGTGGCAGTACAGTGTAGAATAAGAAGTGACTTCAGGGAAAAGAAAATTGCAGTTTTATCTGGTTGAAACTAATATACTTTAAGGATGTTGATTTGGATCAGTAGTTTTGTGTACTCACTGATAACCAATCCGGCAGTATCGGAGGCCCTTCCTCTTTGTGTAACTTTGCATTTTTACTTCCACAGGTACATTAAAAAAAGATTCACACACACCTAATGTGTCCAGTGACATTCACAGAGGCAGAGACCAGGCTGTGTTTGCTTTACTACTGCTGCGTTTAAACACACACACGCTCACAGGAACGGATGGAAGCACAACTGACAGCGCCTCTGTCTCCAGCGTGTCTGTGTGGACTTCACTGTGTCGGGCTCTTGTGTCACCACAGAGCAGGCACGCCACACAGTTAGCTCAGTTCTTCGCAAACGGGTCATTATATTGAAATCTCAGTTCTAAGTGGTCTGTGGCACTTGGACTGTGCCTTGGCCTCTTCAGTTTCACTGCTCAAGATGCTTCATTCCCTGTCCTTACTGAGAGATGTTACACTTAACATTAATGTGACTAATGAGTGTCGGTCCCTCGCTTGTTTCTGACACTTCTAGAAGAACAGAGCACACTGACAACGTTGTCTTTCAAGGGCAGTTTCACATGGAATTACTGTGTTTTATTTGAACGATACAAAGAGATGATTGTCATAAAACCGTTCAAACTATCTGTCATGGTGGGGATGTACATGTGTAACAAGTCTAAATCTAAGTCAGAAGGCTCATTGTTATCGTCTCTCTCCTGTCTTTCGCAATGGTAATGAAGAAGTGCCAAAATTGCCACACATTGAACACACAGGAATCAGTTTTAAAGGTATTCTGTATTCCAGAGGATGTACTGGGGGCCAACCACATCCAAATCATTTGAGGACATTACAGCATGAATATATTAACTAGCGAGGCTCAAAGGTGCAGTTCAGTGGGAGATTCAGTGTGGCTGCAGGTATACAAGGATTAATTGTGGGTTGCCAGTTGTGTCCAGCTCTACACTGGAGAACCCTCATTTCTAGTATAAAAACTGATTTTGCGCCTGAGTGAATGTTTTTGAACTCTTCTCTATGGGCAGTACAACAAACACTTTTCAACTATTCACACAAATGTGTTATATTCCTCACTGTACCTGCATACAGAGCATTATATCACCATATATTGGACTTCTGTCACATTGGATTATTATATTATTATTATTCATTATCATTAACCCAGCTGAGGAGATAAGGCTCGCAGAGTCAGTGACTTGTTTTATATCACCTCTTAAAACCAATTTTTATAGACCTGTTTTCATGTGATGTTGTGTTTTTATTGTTTTATTTTCACCTTTTATTCCACTGTTCATTCATTTTATAATCACATTAGTGCTTTAATGGGTCAAAGTTTCCACGTGACATATTTCTTCATTTCATTGGAACCCTCCCTTCTTTTTCGACCACCTAGACATGTTTGTCTGGCCTCAGATTGCATCCTGCTCATTGTTACTTTTTATATTTACTTTTCTTGCTTTGCTGTCCAAGAACTTTGTAAACTCAGTTTTTAAAAAGAACTAAATAAATCATTATTATTAATAATGTTATTATATTTATCAATATATATATATATATATATCAGTATTATATTATACTATGGTTATTATTATCATTATTCATTCATTTATTGATATCGTTTTATCACCCAGATCGATTGATTGAGGGGTCGCGCGTCGGCCGCGTGCGCGCACACGTCGCGGGGGGTCAGGTGGGTGTCGTCATCAGGTGAACAGGTGTGCGAGGAGACAAAGATGGCGGCGCGGTTATATTGAATAGATACGTTTCCTCGCTCGAGACGATAATTAAACTCTTCCAAGGAACGCGTACCGGCGCCATGAAGCTGTCAGGCTACGTGAAGCGCGTCAAATCCGGTAAGAGCAGCGTGTGTCACTGAGGTCAACCATCTTCAGCGACGGAATGACTTTAATGGCGGATTTCAATTGAAGTAACAGCCACCGTCATTAAAGTAATTTACGGGTGTGAAGCGTCACTGTGATTAAAATAAAATCTCCATGTCATCGCAAAGGGTGTGAACCAGTCCTGTCACGTATTAGCTAAGTATAATTATTGATAATGAAGCAGGGTGACATTAAACCCTGCTTCATTATCAATAATTATACTTAAGTGTGTTCAGAGTTTCCAGGTGACTAACTAAACCAAAAAACAACTTCAAAATGTTCCACTGCCACAACACTGCTCTTAAAGGTTTTCTGTTATTGCCCAATGTGCTGTAATATCAGTAATTTTAATCTCAATAGGACTTTTCCTGGTCAAATAAAGGTTAAGATGAAATAAAGTGGGTAGTAAAAAATGGTGGTGATCAGTTCATTCATCCAAGAACTAAACTTTCCTCCTTCACCCTGACTGGATGACATAAAGTGACTTTTCTACGTCATATAGACAATACAGGTGATAGAGTGGGTCATCATCCCACTAGAAAGTCGGCGGTTTGATCCCTGAAGTGTCCTTGGGCAAAATGCTGGAACCCTCAAATTTCTCCAGGCGGCTGTGCTGTATGGTTGTGAGAATGAGTGAAGCTTTTTTAATGGTCCTCAAGAATAGAAAAGTGCCATAGAAATCATGCACCATACCATACATCCATATGCATTTACTGTAGTTAATGCAATCCCTCATCATGCTGCTCCACTGTGTTTTACTCATATACTTATAAAAATAAAAAAATAAATGTGGAAATAGGCCATGTAGTCACTCTTAGCTCCAGCAATCTGAGATTCTTGATTTTTCAAGGGACGGCCCTACATTGAACCAAACCAAACATCCTCTTCCTCTCCCAACAAAGAAACACATGATTCCACATCATTCAAAATTTCAAAGCTTCATTTCGTTTCATGATTATTAACAAAGTGAATATTGTGCAGACACACAAATAACAGTAAAGTGTAAATGCAAACCCCAACCTACCCTGTTGAAACAGCCCTGGTTTGACCTACTGTTCTGTTTATTTTCCAGCACTGAAACGGTCGTTTGAGGTGGAGGAGGCGGATTCATCCACACACCCCTCGCCCCTGTCTCGTCGGACCACCAACCCTCTCCGCTCATCAACGACTTCCACATCCAGCCAGCGGAGCTACGACCTGAGCTCCCGCAACTCTGACTACTCCTCCTCCAGATCTTCCCCCTCCGAGTCCTCTAATCCACGTTCCCCAAATACCGGCATGAGGCGCATCGAGCTATCAGGGGGTCGTAACCCCGACACAGCCTCTTCCCGCCGCACAGAAATCTCCATTGAGGTCTCCTCCAAGCAAATTGACAACTCGCCCAGCGCTGGCATTGCCCGCTTTGGCCTCAAACGACCAGAGGTAAGCCTGGGCAGTCGGAGCACCCCTCTTGAGAGCTCCTCCAACTCCATCTCCACTTCCACAAACAGGCGTGCAGAGCTCAGCATGGCACGGTCAAGTGAACCCCCTGCCCCTCCGAGGAGGATGGATGCCCAGCTGTCCTCTGCCCCAGTCTCTAGGATTCCTGACCCCCCCCAGAGGAAAGCAGAGCCCCCATCCCCCATCCTCAGCCCAGCTGATGGAGTCTCCCGGAGGCCAGATATGCCCGTCTTCAGACAGCCAGACGGTTTAGTGCCAGGCAGCGCGATGGAGAACAACAACAACCACCCACCTCCTGCACCTAGTGCTCCTCTGCCTTCCCTGGCAGAGCCACGGGTGGAGAGGGTGCAGTCACCCATCACAGAGACACCCACGGCCCGACCAACAGACAGTGAGTACCTCAAGTTTGCCATCTTAATTGTAATATAGCAGCTTCTCAGGGTAAAGTATGTTTGAAGCAGACTTCTCAAGGTGGAGATTTTGCCTGTTTACTCATATGAAGTCATTTGATCACTGCTTTACCATGTTGTTATTCATTTTCTCTTTTCTGACAGTTTCATTTGACCTTTTCTTGCTGCACGTTCTCACCATTCACAAACCATTGTCTCGTCACATCCACACAGACATTTTTTAAAACTAGGCTTTGTATTTATTCAGGATATCCTCTATTTTTATTCCACGTAACATTACAATGCAGCCAAAAAATGACGGAACCAACCAAAGACAGTTCAAGCTGGAGTTTTGTGAGCTTGTCAGTCTAGACTGTCTGTGAATGTAGGTCAGCGAGGGTGATGATGAGAATCGCAGGGCTACTCCCAGGACAGCAGCTGAAAAATGTCTCATACAGGCAAACGAATGAGTAGCTTGCATGATCTTAAATCAACCACTGGACTCAGACAGGGTAAAATCCCTGTAAATTCAGAATGTGTGAGATTAAGAGGCTGCAGTTTATGTGGTGGTGTACTTTTATATTAAGTTAGTATAAGTGGTTAATGTAGAAATGCCAGTGACACAGCAAGTTTACTTGTGTTTTTGGCTTTGAGTGTGTTTTCTCAGTTGACTGCTCTACTTGTGAGAGCTATAAATGAATGCAAAATCTATCATTGTCTAGACAGAGCAGAGGTGGTTTTTAATACTCTTCCTTCACTGACCAACATCAGAGGTGTGGTGCAGAGATGATGTCAAACTCAAATAGAGACCATAAGTATTGGTTTAACAGAGGCAAAACTTTAAGGGCGGCTCCATAACTGTGGCAAGGTAGTGCACACCAATGAGTCATTGTCCTACTGGATGAATCTGTCAGGGCAACCACGTCAAGAGAGGAAGTTATTCACTCATCCCATAACTCGTCCATCCAGCTTGTTGGGTTTCCTTGTTGTAATTATTTGTGACCCTTTGAGACCCAGTTTCCACAGAAAACACCATAGTGCATGACAAGGCATCACTAATATTAACTGTCCCATTTCCATGAAGTGCACTGTGGATATTCTTTATCCTCAGTGGCTGAAACCTAATATTTATGGTAATGCACCAGCCTGAGGACAATCTTTGCATTTTAGCTGGATTTCTCCAAATACCTAATCTATGTTAATTTCTTCCTTTGCTACTATGGGACATAATAAATTGGAGCTGCTAGATTCTCTGCAATTGGACAGTCTTGTTTCCATTTTTGGTTTTTGCATTGCAGTGAATAGCAGGGAGTTATAGAAGTGTGTTTTTATCTTATCTCTCATTTTAATCATTTTGTTGCACTTCTGACTGGTTCTACCAGATAAGCTGCATGTTTGTGTGTGTGTCCATGCTATCTGGAGACAGCTGTACTCATGTGCTGCTCTCTCTGGTGGAGTAGTATTCAGGCGTAGGCGGCTGGGAGGTGATACATTCCAAATCTGGAGGTCATAAAACTTTCTACATAAAAATAGAAAACCTCCAATTTTCACTTTTTAAGTTGTGTGTAACCTCACTGTCCACTGTACGTCTTCTGCAAACAGCTCATGATTTTACTTTATTCTTTTTCTATTGTTTGACATGTACCACCCTTGGTGAACCAGAAAGCATATGCGTGAAAAAGCTTAAATGAGGCCCTGTGTTAGTAGAAGGGGAATAAGCAAGGAAAAGTGAAAGGATTAGGACTAAACTTTTGCCACATTTGGCTCAGATTACCACTTTCCTGCGCATGTGGTGGGAGGGACGCCACACTAGAAAAAAAAAACTCTCAGAAGAGGTGGAGAGAGAGAGAAAGGAGGTTTAGTGGGCAGAAGGGAAGAGGAAGAAAAAATGGTGAGAGAAATAAAGCCTGCGAGGAGGAGTGTGATTTCCTGTAAAGTCTGTCTACAGGGAGGAAACAAAATGAGAAAAGTCCACTTTAACCTCCAAGCATTTGGGAGTAAAGCTAAACCGACAGACCACATTTTGACGACGCTCCTAAAACTACAATTTACTTTCTATTTCCTCCATGAGTACACACAGAAGAGATTCTTTAAAGTATATATTTTACATAACTATTTCCTGTTTTCTATTAGAAAATGATATTTTTCTGTTTCACATCTTTTGTTGTGTACTTCTGTTATTTATGTTCAAGGGCCTATGTGATATGATCAGCCTGCCTGAGTTTGTGTGTCTGTGCTCGCAGATATTTGATGTGCACATGTGTCTTCAAATAGATGATGAGGTTAAGAATGTCTCACTCAGGGGAGATTGACTGATGAAAATGCGGATAAGCTGGTTGTTTTTTGTGTCGTAAAACTCAAGGTGCTGTAATGACATGCTCTGCTTTGGATGATTTGTCGGCTGTAACTAAGAGCAGCTGTGTCCAGTCTTGTGGCGCTTCCACAGGATGTGATCTCATGTATATATACACACACACACACACACACACACACACACACACACACACGTTCATTCATTCTGTACACAGCTCATCGTAGTTTCCTGACCATGCCTCAAAGCTTGATTTACTTTGTCTGCTGTCATTGTGATGACATATTACAGAGTCAGTTTAATATCTGGTTAGAGAGGCACTGGGAGTATGAATCCCTGACGGACTGTAATCGATAAACCAGTAAAAGTGACGGCATAGTTTGATCTTTTTTTCTATTCAAAATATTTTTTCTTTACCTCAGCCAAGGAGGTTATGTTTTCACCATTGTCCTTTTTTCTGTTTTTTTAGCAAGATTACAGAAAAATAACTGAACAAATTCCCACGAAACTTTGTGGAAGGATGTGGTGGGTCAGGGAAGAACCCATTCAATTTTGGTGTTGGTCTGGTTCAGGGGGCGGACCCCAGAATTTATTTTTCCACTTTCTTCAACATTGCGACAGTTTCACTCCTTCCCCAGGGAATAATTAATGGATCTTGATGGAAAAAAATCAGGCACTGATACTTTGTGTGTAATTTTGTGCAGCGTGAATTTAAAGGTACTGTTGGGATTTGGTGGAGGTATGCGCTCTACTCAGTGGCATTGTAGTGGCTTTTTTTTTAATTGATATCTGCAGTTAGCTTCTATTGCCAGTATTAAAACATGCATGCTGGATTAGACTTTTCATCAGAGTTGGACAAGGTGGATGTGGCACTTATCACACATACCACAAGTCAGTGCTTGTGTAGAGTTTTGTGATAAGTAGTGTAGTAGTGTTGTGTGCGTAGGGTGTGTAGTGTTGAAATTGCATGTTGCAGCTGCATATCCCTCATCTCACCCTCTCCTCCCAAACATGAAAGTGAACCTCAGTTGTCATAAAAACTCAAAAGATGTTTAGTTTGTCCAGTCTGGACTAATGTAAAAAACATTAGCGGCCTCCGTAGAGAGAACCCCCTCGATGTAAATATAAAGTATTTAAA